ACACACACAGACACACACACACACAGAAGAGATGCAGTTCCCTGTGCTTAGAAAGTTGATGATTTACATCGACTCAGTCAAAAATGAGGACCAGTGTGTGTCTCCCAGAAGCAGATTTATCCTATGCAGAGGAATAAGGAATGGGGAAAGGAGTCAAAGTTGCTTAGGGAGATCTGTCTATGCATAACGATGGGAGTAGAGAATTAAGAATTTCTTCCTGTTAAATACAGTAGAGAAGATCAACCAATAAAAAGTCAATAATGGTATTTTAGGAAACACTGTGTAACTGCTAGAGTGGCCAAGATCCAGGACACTGACTGCATTACATGCTGTAGAGGATGTGGTCCTCTCCTCATTCATTTCTGGTCCGGCTGCAAAGCAGTGCAGCAACACTGGCATGCAGTATTTTTTTTTTCTTTTGCAAAACTAAACGTTTGATCTAGCAATTGCACTCATTTGTCTTTATTCAAAAAAGCTAAAGACTTTTTAAAAAAATCAGTATATATTTGTAATCCGTAATGAGCGCATCCATCATGGGGTGTTGGTACATACACAAATCTCATCTTGCTCCTTTGTACTGCCCCTTCCCCTCCTTGTCATCCCAACTCTTCTCGTTCACAGATCGCCCTTCCCATTTCCACAAAGTCTATTACTCTGTTTCCTGTAACCTGCACAGGGATGTTTATAGCGCTTTTATCCATAACTGCCAAAACTTGGAACCAAGCAAGGTGTCCTTTAGTATGTGAATGGATAAATAAACTACAATACATTCAGAAAATAGAACGTTATTTAGTGCTAAGAAGTGAGCCATCAACTCATAAAAAGATATAGAGGAAGTTCAAATGTATATTATAAAGTAGAAGCCAAATGACATACTACAAAAGGCAAAACTGTGGAAACATTGAAAGATCAGTGATTGATGGTAGTTGGAGGAAGGATCCTGTGCAGGATTTTAGGGCAGTAAAATTACTCTGTGATAATACTAGTGGATGCATATTGTTATACATTATTTTCAAACCCATAGGATATATAATAATGAGTGAAATCTAATGGACTTTTGGTAAAAATGAAGTGTGATGCCAATAATGATGTGTGTGCCAGAGGGTGGGAAATAAACTTGGGAAAAATTCAGGATTCTACCACTAAGCAGAATTCTCAGGTGTCTAGTAGTTTGGGCCATGAATCAAAGTTCTCTTTCTAAGATGAAAAATAAATTGCTATGTCTGGACCCCTTCACCACTAAGACACACGAAGGTTAGTGGACTTGGATTCTGGAGACTACATATGTAACTCTTCTAACCTATTTACAAATAGCACACAGGGTATTAACAAAATGGCCAAAGTGGCAAAGACAGAAGTTAAACATGGGCTCACTAGCTTGGCCTTATACCAAAGCCAGTATGGTCACTACTGAGTATCAAAACTCCCAACCAACAGACAACACTGAGCCCTAACGTGGCATCATTTCTGGAAGGTCCATCAATTCACACAGTGGCAGCTTGATTACATTGCCCCAGCACTATATTCTGCGTAGATCTGCCTGTCCTGTCCAGTTTTTCCTGCCAAAATCACTGCTATGAAACCGATGGGATGCCTCATTCATTATCATTGTACCCTATACAATTTTAAATTTAAAATTTTAAATATTAACCAATGCATTTTTATTAATCCATCTTCAATTCTCCTACTATATAAAATAGGATTCCTAATAGTAGTTAACCTTAGATCACACTGTAGAAGTTATAAGCCACCAAGTGGAATCCAATTCAGGTGGAAGAGTGTTGAATATCACACACAATGGACAGAGGTGACACACTGTTCTTTGTATTTTCTCTTCTGGGAGAGAGTTTAGATCTTTCCATCATATGAGAGTTAGCTGCATCATGTTATAGGGAAGCATCATTATTTGAAAATTAAGCATAGATTTAAAAAGAAGTATGTATGAGTGTCTGAATAACAAATGGTGGCGTGTTAAATAAACTAGGAGTTACATTTCTCAGAATTATATTTTACTCATGGTTCTAGGTCATAGTTGCCCCCCACAAAGAAGAAAGTTTATGAAATTTAGAAGGCAGAGGAAAGTGATTATTTTCCTCCCTGGTATAATGACAGTTGCATGTGTAAGTATATAAGACTTTCTAGCTAGAATTCACACTCACCGTTACCTGTCCAACTTTTTGCTCCACCTGCCAGCCCTGCTGACTACCAGTAGCCACTGGCCCTTCCCCATTTGTTGGAGAGGACCCCTAAAAGTGACAGCTATTTCCCTGGAGACCTCTCTGTCAGTTTCCCCTTAACACCTCATTTCTGCAGCTGGCTGTGCTTGGCTTTGCGAAATGACTGATTGGTGATGCCTCTCTGACAGCTCCCCCACCCCAGTTCCTCCCAAACTAAAATCTCTTTTTATGTAGCTAATCTTTTATTCCATAACACATAATGGCTGACTCTGAACTCACCTGAATACTGATGAGCATCGATGAAATGAAACATGTCATATATGACTTCTGAAAAGTACCTGTAAAGAAAACAGGTACATTCTATTTCCTAGAATGCAGGTATGATGGCTGGGGCTGTGGTATCAGCCCTTGGACCACAAGGAAGTAGTAAGAGAAGGAGCCTAACATGATGATGTTACAGAGGCCTCCTATCAACCTGCTTGCCTCTGGATGAAAGAAATAAAGAAAGAAAGAAAGAAAGAAAGAAAGAAAGAAAGAAAGAAAGAAAGAAAGAAAGAAAGAAAGAAAGAAAGAAAGGAAGGAAGGAAGGAAGGAAGGAAGGAAGGAAGGAAAAAAAGAAATTTATCTTTAGCTTCTCTAGTTTCATGATTTCCATGAGTCATACCTACTCTAATTTCAAATCTTCTATCATTCATAACCTAAATAGATCTTAACCAAAACCTTACCTAAGATCTTTATTTTTAGTGTTTTTAATTTTTTCAGCACAGTATTTCATCAGATTACTACTCCATGGTATATTTAACCATGTCTCCACAGAAAGCCATTAAGATTTTATCTAACTTTATTATAAAATAATGATACAGCAAATACCTCTGAGAATGTAGCCTTTGCCCTTCTTTGTTTACAAGTGGTTCCCTCCACCAGCCTGTAAAGACTTCAGTGAACTGCAGTTTCCCCACCCACCTAGCTTAGTGCCTGAAGCACTGCAGCACACCAACCATGCCTGTGCATGAGTAAGTAAATGGCTATGGCTTTAATCACACTGTTACCATGCTCAATCAGCTGCAAGCCCTTCCCAGATGCTAGTCCTGCTGACCAACAGCTCTTACCTCAAAAACCACATCCAATGATCACTTCAGGCCTAAGGAATACATAAATATCCCCAAGGTGTACACTAATCTTTATCATAACAACACCATCTATTTTACACCTTTATCCATCCATCCACCCATTTCTTTATTTCTTCAACAAATATTTATTAGCAATCACTATACAGAAGATTCAAAACTGGAAAAGACCTGGCTCTTGAGGTCAGAGAAGTCACAGCTTGGTGGGGAAACCCTTGGGAAAACATGCTACAAAGGATGCAATGAGTTCCAGGCACTGTAGGTGCATAAGGAGCCTCTCAGCACAGTCTGGTCAAGAGGGCATAGGGACATAGAATTTTTTCAGGAGATAGCTCTTCAAAGTGGTGGGAAGTATTTCCAGCAAAAGACAAGAGAAGACAAGCAGGCCTATACCACAGAGTGTGTCCTTATTCAATTGCCTGCCCTTGAATTTAACTCTTTTGAGTGGCCTCAGGCATGTGCAATGATGATCCGGACTGCCAACATCACTTCCTGTGAACTTGTTATGTTCTTTATCTTCTCCCACTGTCCTATCCCTCTTCCCAAGATTGGGCTTCAGTTTGTTTCCCTGTTTAGTCCCTGTGTTAGTTTCTAACAGTTGCCACAACAAAGTGCCACAAATCGGGTGCCTTTACCAACAGGAACATAGGGTCTCAGCTCTGGAGGCTGGAAGTCTAGGGTCAAGGTGCTAGCAGGGTTTGTTCGTTCAGAAAGCAGGGAGGGAAAGCATATTCTTAAGCCTTCCTTGGTTTGTAGTTGACAGACTTCTCCCTGTGTCTTCATGTTTCCTTCCTTCTCCTCTCCCTCCCCTCCCTGCTTTTCATAAGGACACAGCTATATTAGATTAAAACCCATCCTAATGACTTTATCTTCGTGTGATCCCCTGTAAATCTCTATTTCCAAATAAGTTCATATTCATCGACCACATCTTTTGGGGAGCACAATTCAACACTCAGTAGAATCCATGATCCTAGTTATGGCTTCATTGTTCCTGCTGTGCTCTCACCTCCACTAAAGTGAGTTAGGAAAGCTACCACTCAGGGTTCTGATGCTCATGCTTGAGATTTATATTTTTAAATACCTCTCATCACTCAAGTACCCATGTTGTTGCTTATTGCTTAATGAAATTGACTGCTTCCTCTACAGGCATTAATTATAAAGTAGAGGAATGAATGACAGAGTTTGGTGAGGTAACACTGAGGCCATTTCCACTTAGCTTTTTATAGATTTCCACTCTGCTTCATTCTAGTGAACCATGGAATCATTAAATGAGCCCAGCGGGCTGGGCCTTGCTCTCACTGCTGTCTAAATGAATGTCTGAAGTAAATAATGATAGAGTACCATGCCCACAGATGGGGCTGTGTTAAACTGTGTAGGCTCAGGCAAAGAGCAAGTATGTCTACTGAGGGCCACTTTGAAGAGAGTTTGTTTAAATATCTGTTCAAAGAATTAGGCCTGAGAGTACAAGCAAGCTGTCCCACTGCTTAAACAGAATTACAGGGTATAAGACCAGGAAGGCATGTTCTAAAGATGCTTCACCCAGGTGCACAGATGAGTTGCCAGGGATCTGCAGCCAGTGGTGTTAATGCCCATCCACTCTCCCTTAACCTATACAGGGATTATGTCTTCTTTGGTGAGCAATTCTTGTGCACCTGGAAGCCTTCTTCTCAAATACCTACTTTTGTTTTTCTTCCAGAGGGTTTTCTGTGCTGCAGCAGCATGCTTGCCCAATCGTAGAAGAGGTTAAGATACCCAGATATGAACATAACCACCTTCCACCAATAAAGGGCAAGAGCAGGTAGGTAAATACCCAGTTTCTCCACACTTCTTTGGAATGACTCTGCAGTGTGTTCTGCATGTTCTCGCATATGACCCAGAGACACTGAGCTTCCGTTATCCCTTGAATGCACCCTTTATTGGGTCTACTCCCTTTCCCATCTTACTTCATCATGTTGCCTTCTAAATTAATACCAATACCCAAATCCTACCTCAGGGTCTGCTCTTAAGGGAACCCAAACCAAATCACACCTTTTTGCTAAGACAAGTTCTCACTGTAATCCAGGCTGGTCTCAAACTACTATGTACCCTGGACTGGCCTCAAGCTTGAGATCCTCCTTCTTCAGCCTCGCAGAGTGCTAGGATTACAGGTACGTGCCGCAAGTCTGGGCTTCAAATCAGCCTTTATAAAGCTGTGAAATGAGATACAAAAGCTTGCCTGTGCAGTTTTCTGGGAGAAGATACTTAGCTTTCATCAGATCCTCAGAAGTGTTCTAACCCCAAACTCAAAAAGTGTTAGAATCACAGCTCATTATCTCACAGATGAGAGCACTTACTCCTTTCTGGTCTAATCATCTCATCACTCAGTCTAAGAAACCAAAAAGAAGAGAGTCAGTATTTGAACTTGTTGACAGGCGGACGTGGTAGGAGCCAGAATGGCAGAGAGGACAGTTCTGCAGGAGGAATAAAGACAAAGAGGGCCTTCCCGTGCAGTTCTCCAGTGCCCTGCACATGCTAGTAACTGGCTAAGGCTAATCTGGTGTGTGTGGGGGGGTATATGATGTCAAAAGTAAGAGGGCCCAGTCATAAAAAGACAAATATTGTATGATTCCACTTATATGAGGCACATAGAGTTGTCAAATTTAGAGAAACAAAAGTTAGGAGGGTAATTGCCACACACGGGGAAGGTGAGGGAGGTTGAATTTAGGTTCATTGAGTTTGTAATTGTAGTTTCCCCAAAAGAAAAGAGTTCTGGAGATGGATGGTAGTGATGGTTTCACAAAAAAATGTGAAAGTATTTAATGCCCCTGAACTATATACTTCTAAAGGGTCAAATTTTATGTTATACATATCTTAATTACAACAACTGTTAAAAAAAAGGTTAAGAACTGTTGATCTGATTGAACGACCCCCCCCTCCCGAAAAAAAGTAGAGGAAACTATGACCTACCACAATGGCACTTTTTTTTTGGTGTCTGGTGCTCACAGTGTAATAGGATAACTTTAGGGACCTGCCTGCAGGAACAAAAAGTAAAAGGAGGTGAGAAGGAAAGGCTTGGTGTTTGGCCTGGGAAGTATCTTCTAGCAAATTCCAGATGTCTTTGTCCCTGAGTTTCTCTTGAATTGAGGAGAAACTTTGCCGCAGTCCACATATATGCGCACCCTGACCACACCCAGGCAAACGCCAAGAGAAAGGTCCCCTGGGGAAGAGGCTTCTTTCTCTAGGGTGAGAAAACTGCTCCTGCAGAAATGACAGGAAGTGATAAAAAGAAAGGGGGAAAAAAAAAATCCATGTGTTTGGTGTGTGAAGAGTTGGATGTCAGCCCTGAGAAGAGGAAAGTAACAGAATCTGAAATGGGAAATAGCTGAGAAAGAAATGAAGGCACGGAAAGGCCAGACGGTGAATTCTGCTGCGAAGATGCTTTAGAGCAATAGGCTTCTAAGACTATATAGTCCCTGAACCACTGGGCATGTGCAATCAAAATCTCAGGGAGCCTCAGTTCTCAGGAAGAGATGTTAATGTTATTTTTTTCCTGATCAAGATAGTAAAAAATTGATTTAAGCATATTTTGCATAATATAGCATCGTGTATGTGTAAGTACAGAGCAATCCCTCAAGCAGACGCTCTGACCTTTTTGGACTTTCAGCATCAGCCAGTGTTAAACTGTTAAACCCTACGGTCATCCCATCAATGACAGCGCCGGGTCAGCCACTGTCCTCACATCAGAGACCTGACTGGTCATAATGTACCACTGAAAACCATTTTTGTCCTAGAGTAATATTTTTGTCTCCCAAATTACAAATGAATTGACACTTAGCTTTTACCATCCCTGAAGTAATAGGGATTTCTGGTAGCATACTGCTGTGACCATTGACAGTAGACGTGAAATGCAAAGGGTGTGCTGGAGCTGAGAGCCACCGAAGGACGTGTGACCCTTCTGCATGAGAAAGAGGGTGGCAGGTGTTTAAATGCCCTAGGGTAATGTCAAAGAAACTATAATATAAAGAACACTTTATGTAAGACCAACTTGTTCTTAAAAATGCATTTTTTTCTTTTTTTGGTATCAGGGATCGAACTCAGGTCCTTGCACTTGTGAGGCAGGCAGCAGAACCACTGAGCTAAATAAACCCCCAGCCCACATGTTTTTTATATTCATAGGATTCTGTCAACACTTTGATCGTCAACTCTTTAATAAAAGAAAAAACTTGTAAAATTGCCAAAAACACCAAAGGGAAAAAAACCAAAAGAAAACAATAGATTTTATTTTCCTATACTCGTGCCATCAATAACCAAATTGGAAATGCACATTTAGTACAGGTTTTAGTAATTCAGTAGAACTAACAAACTTTAAATGACTATAACTTTTCAGAGTTCATAAAGCAATGCATTAAAATGCTTTTTAATTTTGATTAAATATAAGGTATGATAACCTGAGTGAGCAAACAAAAATTATTGTTATACTGTTTTGCACAGAATATTTTGCAAATATGCATCATCCACACTAGTTGAACTCTTTTTTAAAAAATGAGAGCAGGACACATATAGATATGGGCTTGTAGTTTTTCTTTTATCACTAAATATTACATTCATTTTCAGATAAACAAGAATTTCCATAACAAAAATTTAATATTATGACTATGAAATTGATTGGTTTTCCTGTTCTGGTTTAAATATAACTTAGACTTTAACTTAATGGATTAACTTCATTAAACTTAACTTTTCCAGTGTGTAAGAGCGATGAGCAAAATCAAAATATACCAAAGTTTACTTGCATTTCAATAATGTCAAAACAAGTACTTAAGTGAAGCCTAGGGAGTGAAAAAATTGTTTTCAGGCTTTTGTATATCACTTAAGTTAAGGAAGTATTATCTTCATTGTTAGGAAACAATTATCCATGGGACTTTTGTGTATCTTGTGAGCAGAAGTATGGACTGTTTTGTTCTGAGCTATCTTTTCAAGGATCTTTGTGTGGCAAACAATATTCAACAGTAGAAATAATGTCTCCGTAGGAAGCAAAGTACACATTTTCTTGCAGCCTTGGAAGATACAGACAGTAAAAGGGAGACATTCTTATTTTCCATCATAGAAGATTCAGGTTCCCAAATCTCTGCGCTCCTCACCTGCAATGTGGCCTGCTATGTGTATTGATTCACCTGGCTCTCTTCACGTTGCCCTGTGGGTATTAGGACTAGGGCAAATGGCACAAAAATACAAATACTCCCTCTACTATGACCGCTCTATGAATAAATTGTCCTTTGTTTCTGACCCAAGAATGTAATGTCTTTTACCAGCATCCATAAAAGTACAATAGATAAATTATCTTGCAAGTAGAGTAAAATCTCAGACTTTTCGTAGTTCTTGACTATCAAGCCGGCCCTTCAAGGAAAATGTGTATTAATCTGCTTTTCACCACTGTGATCAACGCCTGACACCCACAACCTAAAGGAGGAGAAGTTTATTTTGTTCATGGTTTCAGAGATTTCAATCCATACTGGTTTCAAGGCAGATACAGCATGATGAAAAGCTATGGTGAAGCAAAAATGCTCAGCTCATGGCAACCAGGAAGACAGAGCAAGAAGAGAACCTAAAAAGGGGCCAGGGACAAAATATAGTCTCCAAGGTCATGCCTCGATGATTCAACCAGAAATGTGATTTACTAATCTCCAAGGTGCCTCTCAAGCCAATCAAGTGGGCAATGAATATTCACTATCACGTGATCTAGGTATAATGTAGCTAGATGCCTGTTAAGCAGTAGGGAAGGGCATTCTAGTTGAGTGAATGTCACAAATGAAAACTTGGAGAGTACAACAGTCCATCAGAGGGTGGCAAATAAATTAACTTGATTAGAAGATATGGTTTGAACTTAGAAGTAAAAAAAAAAACCCTTTAATTAGAAAAATAATTTACGGCTAAATTGTTATATGTTTAAATAGTGGGGCAAAGGAAATCCTGTTGTGTAATTAAAAAAACATTTGAAGGCTTATAGTGCTTTTCCCAAAGTCACTATTTCTTTTCTTTATTTACTTAAGATTCTAAGCAGGGAGATGACATATTGAATATTGAAGTTGGCTGTCATGAAAGAGTATGGTGTAATAAAGGAAAATTACCAGATTTCTTATCTTTATTCTGCTATTTCCCAGTTGTATGATCTTGGATAAGTTACCTCTCTGAGACCAGTGTCCTCATCTATCATAAGAAAAAGAGTAGTCACTTTAGCTTAGCAAAGTATTGCAATGGTTGGACAGGGATTTAGCTCAGTGGTGCTGTGCCTGCCTGGTGAGTGCAAGGTCCTGAGTTTGATCCCCGGTACCAAAAAAAAGAAAAAAAAGAAAAAGTATTGCAAAGGTTACTGATAATGTCTTTAAAATTCTTGGTGTAGTACCCAGTATCTAGTAGATCAATAAATGGTGAGGATATTTTTAGCCATTATATGCAGCATGAATTGAAATAGAAGAAAGAAGAGACTAGGTCTCCTTTGTTTTGAAGTGATGACAATTATATACGGATAAGATGATTAGATCCCAGGGTGAGGTAGTGATGGCAATAATAAAACATATACCCTAAATAAATGAAAAGCCACTAGAATTTGGAAATCAAAGTAGAAATGTGATTTCTAACATTTGCTGAGTGCCTACTATGTACTGATGTATTCATTCTTCTAAAACTTCTCAGGGGAGGTACTATCATTGCTGCCTTCTCACAGTTGAACAAACTGAGGCCTGATGAGGTAAATTAATGGGCGTGAAGTCAAATAACTAAGAGAAAGCCAACAGGGACTGAAGCCAACAGGCAGCCCCAGGACAAGCCCATATGCTAAACTACCATGTTCCACTGTCCATTTATGTCCCAGAAAAGGAAGCAAAAGAGCAGGCAATGAGGACTCAGTGATCTGGGAGTAGAGGAGGGCAGGGGTTGCAGAAGGTTGCTGTGAGAAGTGATGCTATTGTCCTAACACATTGAATATGAGTTGAGGGAGCACTGGGGGGCGGGTGCTGGAGCTTACTGATGCGAGAGACTGGGTTTGAAGGCAGAGATGTGAACATCACCTACTGTGTGTGAGATAGTTGAGCTGTTCCATCAGCATCACGCTCTCTGATTGTCAGAAATGTGCTGACCCTGGGCAGTGACTGCCTAGTGCACTGATCAGGAATTGGAAAAGAGGTGGATCTTCCCTCAATTAAACCCCCTACCCGGGCTGATTTTAAGCCATTATCACAAATTCTTTGATTCTTTCCCATTGAGAAATGGTATCTATGTCCCCGCCCCTGGAGACTGGACAGGTTTGTGAATCCTTCCACCAGTAGAAAGTGAGAGTGTCATCATGAGACTTCTCTGCTAGCTCATAAAAGGTGATGCAACTTTGACCTGACTTTCTGGAAACCTTACTCTGAGAGCCCTGAGTGCTGTGTAAGAGGTCTGACTGCCCTAAAACTGGGATAACCACTGCTGAGCCCAGGCTACAACCAATACCCCAAGGCGCTAGGCACATAGCGAAGCAGAAATGGACCTTTAATAGCAATCCATACTCCTGGGTACCACTGAATGATTTCCACTGACACAGAACAGAAGGGTAGCCAGGACCCCTTCTAACATTCAACCTACAAATTCGTGATATAAGAGATTGTTTTGAGTCCTTAAGTTTGGGAGTAGTTTATAACCCAGTAATAGTCAACTAAAACATGCCTTTTATCCCAAACCCTCTAGTCCCACCTCCTTTTTTCTGTCTCTTTACCTAAAGCGGCCAATCCTGAGTGCATTCTGGTTTGAATCCTACCCTTGCTCATAGTTCCTTACATAAAATGTTATTTGGGGAAATTCATTTCATCTCCCTGTGCCTCTGTCTTTCTTCCCTCTCTCCCTTCCACCCTCCCTCCTGTCCTTCATTCCATAAGAACTTCCTGAGTGTCTTCACCATGTCACATGCTAAAATGAGCACAATCCCCTTTCTCTAGATCAAGGTCAGCTAACTTATTTAAGACCAGAAAATACATAATTTAGGCTTGCAAACAAAAACCCAACTGTATTAAAGCATGAAAGCAGCCATAGATGTAAACAAATGCATGTAGCTCTAATCCAGTATTCATTTATCCAGATGAATTTTGTATTCATTTACAGAAATGAGTGACAGAAGTAGAGTGTGGTGCTCACCTGTAATCCCAGAACTCCAGGAGGCTGAAGCAAGAAAATCTGAGGTTAGAGCCCAGCCTGGGCAATTCAGGGAGACCCTGTCTCAAAATTTTAAAATAAAATGAAATAAGGAGCTGGAAACGTAGCTCAGTGCAAAAGCCTTAGGTTCAATCCCCAGTACCACACACACACACACACACACTCATAAGTGGCAGGTTTGATTTGACCTGCAGGCCATAGTTTTTTTTACCCCTGCTCTCTGTTCTAGGTGCTTTACACCTAGGAACAAGTTATCTCTGCAGACACCTGCCCAGGCAATGTGTGGTACATGCCAGTGCTACCTAGCAGATAGTAAAAGGGCTTCCAGCCACTCCAACTCAAAGAAGACCTGGAATTTGGGCTAAGTCTTGGATGTTCAAACTCAAAGATGAGGCACAAAGTTATCAAAGATGTTGATAGAGCCGGAGATGAGGATGGGCTGGAAGGAAAATGCATGATAAGGCAGGAATGCTAGAAAGGTTCATGTTCTAAACTTGAAAGGTCGTCTTTCCCATTCATTTTATTTGCTTGCCAAGGGCTCATGAGGACAAATCAGATAAGGTAAAAATGGCTGTGCGCTCCATAGATGTTTGCCAGGGGTTTTCAGGCTATCATCTCTCCTTTTCAGAAAAATAGCTCCGTGAAGTGGCTGCCTTCAGAACACACAGTGCAAAACCATTTCCTCTCATAGCTGCCATTTACAGGAGGGAACCAGAATAGCATGTAATGTTCTAACAGCTCTTCCAGCAGTGACACTAAATACACAAAACTATTCTAAATTTATGTCTGCTGTGAACATGAACAATGACATAGTGCCGTTCTGCTCTGAAGTATGTCTGGACCAATTACATGCAAAAAAGGTCATACTCGATCACTTTCCTGACTTTCCAACTTTAGCATCGTACCCACACAACTAGAACACCACTCCAGCTTCAGTTTTATTCTCTTTTATTTGATAAGTCTATCATGATGATGATGAATCCAGATTGAGAATCACTTTGAAAATTAGAGGAAACACTATACTGGTTTTCTGGCTTTCTTAGCTTTGTGTCTTTAAATCAGCTCAGCTTAGGTTTTTCTCAGTCCATAGCATTTATTGGAAAATTGAACATGGAAGTAAAATGGAAAGACATTTTATCAGAATCTGAAAAGCCAGAGAATCTTGTGGAGAACTGAGGAAGTTTGGGGCACAGCAATAGCTCTCACCTTCTGTCTAAAGTTCTGGGCATCTAAGGGCAAGTAAGCTCTGTCCCCAACTGAGCTCCTCCATCCACTTGGTTCCCAGCCTATTCGTCTCTCTGTCTCTTTTACCTCGTGGCTTCTTCTTCATGTTTTTATTTGTTCTGTTTTATTTTATCAATCTGGAGCACTGAACACAGAGCCTTCAAGTTCAATAATGTTGTTTGGTGGTTTAAAGCAGAGTCTTCTAAATTGCCAGGGCTGGACTTGAAATTGTAATTCTCCTACCCCAGTCTTTCAGAGTGAATGCTGGGATTAGAGGCATGCACCACCATGTCCAGCTACACCTTACTGTTTTCTTGCCAGCTCCTTGCGTAGTGGCTTTGACTTCTACCTCTACTGATATTCTTGATACTGTCTTCTTTAAGTCTTTCATTCAAACTCCAAATGATAAGAGAATTGATCAGGATGGTCAGTTTCAGTAAGAGCAGAACACATTGTGGGAAGAATAACATGGGAAAACTGGATGGACTGTAGGTGACAGCTTAGGATCAGCTACTTGTCCTTGGTTCCATCAGCTGGGGTGGGGGTGGATGAGGATTAGGATATATAATGCCTGATGATTTACACAGTTCATAAATTCCTCCATGACACAGCTCAACACCCAGTCCTCAATGTCCAGCCAAAATGTAATGTTCCAGGACCTACCTCTCTTGCTCCCTCTCTCATTCTGAGTCTGTCACTTTCCTGACTCCTAGTCCTGTCTTTATCATGGTTATATTCCTGGCCACTTGGGTTCGTGTTCTGTCTCTCTGGTTTATGACTCTTCAATATCCTTCAAAGCCTTTGGCTCAGGATTATATTGCCATCTTTTGTCTTTGCACAGGACCTCAGAAGTAAATCCTGACTCAGTGGGAAGAAGAGTGCAGGCTCAGCTGCTATAATAAAAAGACTCCAAAAGCACAGAGGCTTACATAATTCTGAGCTTGTGTCTCTCTCAAGTAACATCTCAGAGGTAAGTCGTCTATTATGACTTTCTTACCATTAATATGTGGCTCCTCTCTCTGGGTCCCACGTGCCTGCTCCCAGTTAATCCTCAGTTAAGAAAGCAGAAGAAGATAACAAGGAAACATATCCTTTAAAAGAGGAAAATAAGGTAACTGCTCATATTATGTCTGCTCACATTTTATTGACAAAATCATCACATGCTCTATTCCACTTCTAAGGCTCTTAAGAAATAGCCTCTTGTTGGGCAGAACCATCTGAAACCTGGAGTGGGAGTGGATGGTCAGACCATTAAAGGGATGCAGGGGAATAGATCCTACGAAACAGTTAGTGGGCTCAGCCACAGGACAATTTTTAGCTAAAGCCCGGGGACTGGTCCAAATCTGATGAGTTGCTACAACTCTAGTGGCTCTCTTTAAAATGAAGAATGCAAACTAATAACCACATAGAATTATGACGATAGGGCCTGTGATGGGGTTCATGTTCATGGGAGACTGGAAAACTGAAGTCTCTTCAAGCTCACTCTGCTTCTGTGCAGGTTCACTAATCAATGTCCCAACCTCAAGTTCGCCCAGCTCCTGCAAAAGGTAGTTCAGGCCATTTTTGGAGGATAGATTTAGTAGACTTTCAAGGCCATTGCGAGATGGGGCAATATTTTGCTAAACACTAATAAAACAAAACAAAACAAAGCAAGTCTTGAATTTCCTCTTCCTGATGTTTTCACAGCAGTTCTTTCCCATGCAGTGCAGTTTGCTGGTGTGTTGTCCTCAGCAAGAGCTGAAAAATATTCTGCTGCTAATGATGTCACTGGGTTATGGTCATTTAACCTGCTGCTGTGATTCCTTCCTGGGTACATCCCACTTCCCAGACCCTTGTTGGTGGAGAGGCCTGATTTATGGAAACTCTGCTGTGCAGACAAGATATTACAAGGAGCCCATTTGGTAGCTGCTCGTGGTAAGTCCTGCTGTAGCTTCATTTTCATGTCAGTAGGCACGCTATAGGAGGCGAAGAGCAGACTGAGGGCTATGGCACTGCCTGCATGCAGTCAATCAAGACCAGGCTGATTAGATTTTCCAGGTGCTTGGATGCTGTGGGACTGCATAGTACATAGATGAGCATTCCCACCCACAAGGACTAAAGAACTTCAGAAGGCTGCAAAATAAGTCTTTAGAAAAGGCTTCAGTTCTCCCCCGTGCCCTGTAATGAAGCTTCCATACATATGAGATGCTTGGACTTCTGCATTATTAATGAGTCTCATGGAGTACAGCAATGTTCCTAAAAGAGTGAAAATCTGAAAGTGCATATGCCTGAGGTTAGATGAAATCAAATATATACATTGGGGAAGATACTCAAGAAGAGATTGCCATGAAGGATGATTGCCACTGCCATTGTGTTCGTGCTATCCCTCACTTCATTCAGTCTTCCAGACTTTATTTCAGAGATTTTAAAGTAAAAGCCTGTTCTTCATTCATTAAAACTATACTTTGCTTCTGGCTATTAAGAAACTGTTGATATATTGGTGAGCATAAGGGTCACACACAGGCGATCCTGCTCCACCAGGGTTAGCAGACCTCCAGAAGGCCAGCTCCAGCACCTCTGTATGAGCACTCGTGGCTCCATGACTTCTTCCTCTGTAAAGAAGGACCTTGGCATCTACCAGCATTTCCTTGTATGCCTTGCATACTCTTCAGGGCCCATCCTTATTCCTTCCCCCGCTTCTCTTTTATTTAACATCCACACACTGATGATTTTTCATGTGTTGCCCCCAACGTCGAATCCTCCCTGATCTTTGAATAGCTTCTGTAGACTATCTCACGAGCACTGCAGTCTCAGTCACCCCCAAATACTGACTGATTCCCCGCGCTCCTCAGGTCCTCCTTCCATCTTCCCGTGGCTTTATGAATGGCTCGGTCATCCCGCCAGCCTGGGAGCCATACCTGATTTTCCCTTTTCACTCACCTCGCTCATGGGTGAGCAGTCACTAGATTTCTCCAATTCCGCCTTACTACTTTATATGACATTGCCTGCTGCTCATCGGACTCTCATTATTTCTTACCTAGATTATTGAACAACTTTCTTGTCTCCCTGCTTTTTATTCCCAAGGGTGAGTTTTTAAAGCAAGTCGGTTACATCACTACCTTGTCTAAAACTCTGCACAACTTCCCACAACCTTTAGGATAAAGCCAGTGCCTTTTCTCTGTTCAGTCAAAACTCATTGTATCTTCCTGCACAATGGCTCTACCCTGCATGTGGACTTATTTGAGTTCCCCATACTCTGACTAAGCCTATGAATGAATTTGGTTTTATCACAAATAGACATTGTCCATTATTCTTCTTGTTTCCTATAAGTTAGAATGGCACTCATAATGGAAGTCAAAAAATGTCTATTGGGTGAGTTACATTTATAGAAAAAGTCACATATTTGATGGATGATTAGACTTGACACTAGGAGGTTTCTAGAAATAATGCATATAAAATCACAAGGCATTCTATTTTTTTTAACTATCACTTTTAATACCCTCAATTTGAGTTTATCTCTTAAACAATGAGTATTTAGTGAGCACCTAATATATTTCAGGAATTTCACAGCTCCAAGGATGTCTAGGGTATCAAATTTGTCCATAGCAGTGATGGTGAATCTTAGAGACCGAGTGGCAAACTGCAGCCCCAACCCACTTATTTAACACAAGTTCTAACATTGCAATTAAACCTGAGTACTGAAGGTTTTTTTTCCATGTTAGAAATCTGTATTTACTTATTTTTTGTTTTTTGTTCTTTTCACTTTTAATTGAGTTTGTTGGTACATTTTAGGTGCACAGTACAGTTACATTTATTGTTGGGATCTTGTACCTCTACATGACAGGTCTTGGTTCTCATTTTTCCCCTTGTCCCTGCCCTCCCTTCACCCCCTCCTCCCCTCTCCATCTACCAGCACTTTATTTCCATCTTTTCTTTATCTCACATTTTTTTCTTTTCCCTTACTAGTCTTCCCCTATCCATCCCACCTTCCCTAGTTCAGAAAAAACAACTCATGCATTGAAAACTTTTGTCTTAAAGAAAACACAATAACACGTGCATAGGTTTGCCACCACCATTCCATTCTCCTTACCCTCTAGAATCATGATCCAGATTAGAGCTATGGATAATTACACATAATTATTTTACAATGATACCAGCTGTTATCAATGTAGCACAGGAGCTATGAGAAGCTAAAGGAAGAATGTTAGAAAGTGGGTGGTGTTTACTTACCAGCATATGAAGGGGTGATGGACGGGGCTTGGGAGCACCTGACAGAGTGAAAGATAAGCCCCAAGATTTGGAATTTAATGAAATCTAGGGCATGGGAGCTAGAGAAAATCCTGAAGGGCAATACAGATAATGCCAATAAAGTCAGAGCTTGCTGTATATGAGATGAAGTTTTAAACAACTGTAATCCAACCAACGTTACTGAGGCATCTCCTGGGCAGCTGCATGGAAAGCTTTTAAAAAAAGAAAAAGGAGACAGCAAGAACAGTGAGGAAACAACTGCAGTGTTCTTAGCTAGAGACTGTGGTGTCAGTGTGTCAGTGGTTACACGTGTAGACCCCACATTCTTCCACCCTGTGTATGTGAGTTGGTTACCAGCTTGGGCAAGGGTCCTCAGTTGAAAATGGAGTTCATAATAACTGATGAGATAAACTGGGTGGGATTCAGTGAAAATTTATACACAGTATTAAGAGCAAGGCACACCTGAATGTAGAAGTATTTACACTTTTTATTTTGTAGGGGCATGAACCAAATAAAAGGACATAGAAGGAGGACGTGGGAATTTTAGCAAGAAAACTTGGAAGTGTGTGGTGTATAATAGTATGTGAAGGTAAAGAAAATGGATAAGTCAAGGATCTCCTCAGCAACTGGTGAGTGATGGTAGAAAATGGAAGAAAAAGGAGATTTTCTTTTTAATTTAGGGTGGTCAGTGAGTTTGATTCTGGAAGTTGGAGTGGAGTTTCTTAGCCCACAGGCCTTTGGGAATATGGATCTGTAGCTCTGTGGAGAGCTGCCCAGGCAGAAGATGGAGGCTTGGGTCTCAGCTGTATCCAGGTGGGCACTGAAGCTGTAGAGTGCTAGATGGCTTAAAGAGATAGTTCAGACTAAGAACGGGGCTGTGGGCAGACCTCCCAGAGAAGTTGGAGCAAGGCAAAATAGTGGAATAAAGAGAGAATCACTGTAGAATAGAGAGTACAGGATCACTTGTGGTTTGGCAATGGTATGAAGAGTAGTCAAGGCCTGATAACGCACTGTACCAGAGCAGTGGCTCCAGATTTCAAATTTTATGAAAATACTTATTTGTCTGTAATCTTTCCTACTGAGTCCAGCTCAAATCTTTTGGGCTGCGGATTTCTACTAATTTGCATGGAGGGTTTGTATCCTAGAGGCAAATCAGACATTGTAGCTGTCATACTTTAATTTTCCTTTTTCAGGAAGCAGGTAATCAATAATTCAGTTTTCTAACAAGTATTCATTGTTTAAATCAAGAGCTAAAGTACCTATAAAGATTAAATCTTCAATAAGGCAATTAAACAAGTAATGGGGAAAAGAACCAGGTGATGCTTTGGTTTCCCTTTTTGGTAGTTCAGGAACTCAGAACAAATTACCTAATGTGATTTTTTTGAACCAACGCCTACTCTGTCATACATGAAAAAAAATCTCAGCAGGTGATACTTGCTCACAAGGAAGTCAATGATCCCACAGAATTCTTGTAATTAGACATTATAACAGAAGGTCTCGTAGTCAGCAGAATCAGATATCCTCTAAACAGAAGGGCATCTACCCGCAGTTTCAAGATTTAAAATAATACCAGCTCAATGTTAGAACATGCAGAGGGAAACTATGTTGTGTAATTTTGACTTTCATATTCATCATACTTACATTGAACTACTGCTCTTACCAGATGCTATGCAGAGTACAAGGCAAAAAAAATGATGTATAAGATAAATAGCCCCATGTTCATGGAGCCCAAACAAATACAAGGACAAGAAGAAGAAAAAAAAAAGGAAGGAAGGAAGGAAGAAAGAAAGGAGGGAGGGAGGGAAGGAAGAGAGGGAGAGAGGAAAAAGGAAAAGAGAGAAAGAGAAAGGAAGAAAAAGAGGAAAGAAGGGAGAAAGGAAGGGAGGGAGGGAGAAAAAAAACCCACCAAAATTCTGAAGATCAGGGGAAGAACAGACTTGATATCCCTGTTAAGTAGTCAGAATACTTAAAGCCACTGAATTTCCTTCTTATTGGCATGTTTCTCATTATTCCTACTTTAAAAACTGTTTACTGAATGAATTACAAATCCTTCTCCGCAAGGAGATGACACAGACAGGAATGTTTCTGTAGTGTCTCAGGGAGGCTGAGAGAATAAAGAGGGCTCCCGCTTACCCTGATATCTCAAGGACCCCTTTTCTAGATCTCCTGTCTTTGGCATCATTCAGAAGCTCAACGACCCAATGTAAGAACTTTCTTCATCCTTAGTTTTTATAAACTGTATATGCATTTCTTAGCTTCTTGAAAGCTTCACGTCCACTTGTTTATTATGAGCAGGTGAGATTCACTAAATCACTTTACTATTGATGTATCTCAGAAAACAAAGGGTGTGATTCACAGAACTATATTTCCCCAAAAGAACCAGAGAACTCTTGTATTTCCCAGAAGCAGTACTTTGGCTGTCACGCTGAACTCTGATACATAGCTTTATGGAAAAGGATGTGAAAAACCACCAGACCATTAGATTCTATAGTGACACCAAATATGAAAATATCTTAGGTAAACAAAGGCCTCCAGCAGCACCTTTGGTAAACAGGATGAAGAATGAGGTTGCAGTGAATTTGTTTCCTTGTGTCATTCAAGACTCCGGCACTGGGCCTCAGCCTACTGTCTCATAAAGATCAGCCGTGCTTGAAAGAAGAGAAGGCTGAGAGAGGAGACAAGGTACTAGAAGGAAGGCATCACCCAGCAATCTGGCTCATTTGAAGGCACAGTGAAGCAGACAATCAGAAGGATGGAGGTAGGTTTGCAGGCCGATGTGGAGGGTGGGCAGGGGTTGGCAGAGGTGAATGAAATCACCCAGCCCAGGATATGAATGAACAGCTGGCAACAGGAGAGGGCAAGAGGGGACCCCGACTGGGCGTTTTAGGGGATGGATAAGTGTGAAAGGAGCCATATAAGGTGCCTGAGGTGATGATAATTGTTATGGTTTGGGTCTAGATGTCCCCCAAAGCTTCATGTGGTCGTAGGCTGGATCTAGAGTGTGTGAAGATGGAATTGATTGATGAGGCAATGCTAGGCTCAAGGTCACTAAGATTAAGGGCGTGAATGCTTCCCTCCCTAAGTAGTCTGCATAAAATATAAGGGGCAGGGTGCTGCTGTTAACTCTCGCGTTACCCTTGCTGCCTTGTGTGTACCATGTTGTTTCTGCTCTGCCACGCCTGTTTGTCACCCTTGCCTTGGAGTCGGGCCAAGTAAAGCCCTTCGCCTTTAACTTTGGGTGTCTGGTATTTTGTCTCAGCAACTACAGAAAAGTAACTAACACAATAATAAAAATAGCAACAAAAATCTCAGTGTTCATCAGTATGCCAGATACTTCCATACATGAACTCCAAGCTTCCGTCCAAACTCTGGAGAGGCATAACTGGCCCTTCAAGAGGAGAATCTCAGAATCTCAGCACAGCCAGGTCTGTCTACCTCTAAATTCCAGCTGCCTTCTGTCACACCAGCCTGCCTCTTGATTTATGCCAACTTTATTCACTCATTAGCACCTACTGACTTTTAAGGTATATGGCAAAAACAACAGTGCTTGCCATTAAACAACAGAGAGCCTTAATAACATTTTTTGCTTGCTTGTTTGTTTTTGAGACCTGGTCTAGCTAAGTAGCCTGGGTTGGGCTCAAATTTGCAACATAGCTCAGGCTGGTCTTGAACTCATAATCCTCCTGCTTTAGCCCCCTGAGTGTCAGGATTGACTACATTCATTCATTTAAAATTATTATTATTTTATTTTATTTATTTATTTTTTTGGTACCAGGGATTGAACTCAGGTCTTTGCACTTGCAAGGCAGGCCACCAAACCACTGAGCTAAATCCCCAGCCCCATTTAAAATTATTAATTTTCTCAAAATCTTGTTTATAAGACTTGGTGCCTTTCCATTTTGTAAAAAAAAACTACCTTTGAATATGTTTGTTTAACGCTGGCCATTCTAACAGCGTGAGGTGGTATCTCATTGTGGTTTGCCCTATTCTTGAGAGTTAGAAGAATGGAGCACTCAAGACATCGAGTAGAGACTGTCACTCTCTTCACTGCATTTCTAAGGCCACCAACACTGAGCTAAATCCCCAGCCCCATTTAAAATTATTAATTTTCTCAAAATCTTGTTTATAAGACTTGGTGCCTTTCCATTTTGTAAAAAAAAACTACCTTTGAATATGTTTGTTTAACGCTGGCCATTCTAACAGCGTGAGGTGGTATCTCATTGTGGTTTGCCCTATTCTTGAGAGTTAGAAGAATGGAGCACTCAAGACATCGAGTAGAGACTGTCACTCTCTTCACTGCATTTCTGTTAGACACCTTACATGTGTGCCATCTATAGTATTTCTAGATGCCCAACTAGGGAGAACCACACTGAGCTCACACAAAATGTCCCCTCGTCAAATGGAACTATGCAAATCCTAGGCCTTACTCAGCGCCAGGCTTTACTGATGTTTCAAAAGATACAGGCCAGCACCAGACAGAAACATTCCTTTCCAGGAGAATCATCACACCATCAGCTTCTGAAAAGCATCTCTTGGGGCCGGGGATTTAGCTCAGTGCCATGAAAAGCATCCCTTTCTCCTGCATTAGGACACATTTTTGGGTCTGATCAACAGATGAATTTTGAACCATGTATGCCATTGTTCTCCAAGGAAGCTGTGTCTGTCTCCGAGCCCTTTGTTTTTATACTTCATTTATTACACAGAATATATTTACCTCACTGTCCTGGTCCCCTATTCCCCAGCTCCTTAATCCATACAGTCTGTATTTATTTAAAAAGACCCATCTAAACAGAGCAGGTAATCCCTGTTGGAGACATTTTCAAGGTGAACTCTACTAAAATCTCTCTGTTCCTACATGCCACTGCCTGGTTTATGGGAGGTCTGGCTAAGGCATCCCCCAGTAGGGAAGGGGTGAGTTACAGGCCTGTGTTGACCCTTTCTCTCCCTTTTCATTTAGGTGGTTCATTTATGACCTTGCCCTTTGAATTCCCTAGAAAAGTCTCTCATACACTTACTTTCAGGGAACCTGGAGGCAGGCTTGGCTTGGACACCCCGTGCAGCTTACCTTTTCCTAAGAGTTTCCATTCCATAGAGGTAGATCACTCTTTTCTTATACAGGTAGTTTTGCGCTTTTTCTTCAGTTTTTTAAAATTAAAACATACTTTATTTAGACACACATACAAGTATGAAATCCACAAGGACCAGCAAGGTGATTGATACTGAAGTAAGAAAAACCTTTATTTCAAGATGGGAAGGAGACAATGGGATTAGGGACCTTTTAAAGTGCTGGTAATTTTCTACTTAACCAGGATACATGCACATGTACATGAATTTTTATTGCTTTCCAAACTGTACAAATTTATACTCCTCTGGATACATAGCAACTCTGTCTTCCAAAAAACAAAGTTTTTCTTTATAATAAAGCAGGGAACCATGCAGAATCCTCTGAATATGATGACCAGCAACATTGGCTATGAGTTCTGCTCCAGAGAGAGGCAGCAAAAGTGGGTTTTTTAGTGACAACAGTCTATAGAGTCTGCAATTTCAGTGGTGTCAGGTGCAGTGTCTCTGACAGTGACCTGGGGCAGTTTTCTGATATTAGAGATATATAACCTCACTTTTTTTCCCCTCCTTTCTCATCTGCATGCATGTGTGTGTGTCTTACTAGGAATTGAACCCAGGCCTCACAAATGCTAGCTAAGCACACTACCACTGAGCTACATGCACAGCCCTTTTTTAAAATCCTGATACAGTCTCACTGAATTGCCCAAGCTCGTCTCAAACTTTCAATCCTCCTGCTTCAGTCTCCTGAGTAGCTGGATTATAAATGTGTACCACCGCACCTGGCTGTACAGCTTCTAATTCTGGTTGCCTGGCTGTCCTAGAGATTTTGTGAGTGACTTTTGAAAACATCATTATTTGTTAGAATTAACCCAAATCTCCTATAACTAAGAATGCTGACTAATGAGCATAGTTTCAATAAAACAACCATGCACATATATATTTTGTCAATACTTTATAAATTATTTTGAATTTATATTTTACTATAATATTTGACACTTGTACCAGGATAAAAGTGGCATGCAAATAAATTATTAAGCACAATAATTTATCACCTAATTTAAGAATTAAAACATTACTAGTGTTGGGGCTGAGGATATAGCTTAGTTTAGAACATTTGCACAGCATGCCTGAGGTCCTGGGTTTGATCCTCAGCCCCACCAAACAAAGCAAAAATAAAGTATTATCAATGTTTTGCATTTTTCTATTTATGCTCCTATCTCTCCCAACTGCCCCTGTTCCATTTTATAATTGGTTTTAATCATAGGTTTAAAAAAAAAAACTAAAAGTGTGTATGTATCCCTAAGGTAATTTTTAAAAAGTATATTTTTAGTTTCATTCTTTTGTGCTTTATAGAAGTAGTATCATACTGTATGGGGTAGTCTAAAGGTTTTATTTTTTTCAGGGTGTTTCTAAGATCTGTAAATGTTATAAATAGCTGAAATCTGTTTTTATGTATATTTTATCATGTGATTATACAATATATCATTAAATATATACACATGGGCTGCAGGCATAGGTCAGTAGGTGCAAGCCTAGCATGCATGCAGCTCTGATTTTAATCCCCGGGAACTTAGAAAACTGTAATAATAAAATAAGTTTTTAAACCCCCCCCCAATATACATATACTACTCTGAATGTGTGACACATTTCACAACAAAGAATAATTGAATAAATGATGATATTCGGGAGCTACCTCCTGCTTAGAAGATACGCTGGTGGATTACCAGGGAAGCAAGCCCATCATTTTAACTTGCATATTCTGCAGTCTGTTCCTGAAAAGCAGCATAAGGTAGGTAGTAAAGGGGGAGCTAACCGAGGAAAAGACAAGGCACCTGGGATACTGAGGACTTGCATTACCACTGATAGCTGTGCTTTTTTGGACAAGTCATTTACTCTCCACCATGGTCAAAGCACTGGTGTCACTCTAAAATACATATATTGGAATTTAACCACCATGGCAGTAGTATTATAGGAGGTGATTAGGTCACAAAAACCCTTTCTCTCATAAATGAGATTAATTTCCTTATGAAGAGCTTTGAGGTAATCTATTAGTCCCTTTTGCCCTTCTGTCCTCCTAGTTCTTCTTTCATGAGAGGACCCGGCAAGTTACCATTTTGAAGCAAATAACAAATGCTCACCAGAAACCATGTCTACCAGTGCCTTTATCTTGGACTTCCTATCCTGCAGAAACGTGAGCAGTGAACTTCTGTTGTTTATAGATTACCCAGATTAAGGTATTTTATTATAACACCACACCTTTGAAAAAATATATAAGCTATATAAGGAACTGTCATGAGTCAAAAAGAAAAAAACCACAAACCAATATACAAACTGGCAAAGAAAACATTTTTTTAGAACTAATGAGTTAAGCAGGGTTCCAAGATTCAAGGTCAGTTGTGTTTCTAGACCCCATCAGTGAACGGCTGAAGGCACCATTTTTAAAAGTACCATTTACAATAGACCTGCATCAGTCACCTTTCTATCACTGGGGCAGAACACCTGACATGCACACCTTAAGAGAGGAAAGATTTATGTTGGCTTATGATTTCAGATGTTTCAGTCCATGGTTGGCTGGCCCCCCTGCTTTGCCCGATGTGAAACAGAAACATCGTGGTGGGAGGATATGGCAGAGGAATTCTGCTCACCTCAAGGCAGCCGGAAAGCAGAAGTGGGTAGGTGCGCGGATTGGGGGAA